GGGAGGGGGAGAGAATCTTAAACAGGCTTCACTCCCACCGTGGAACTGAGTGGGGCCTAATCTCACCACCCTGAGACCATGACCTGTGCTGAAATCAAGAGTTGGATGCTTGCGGAGCCTGGGTGGCTCAGTGGGTTGAGCCTCTGCCTTCAGCTCAGGTCATGATCGCAGGGTCCTGGGATTGGGCCCACATCAGGCTCTCTGCTCGGCGGGGAGTCTGTTTCCCCCTCTCTCTGCCTACTTGTGATCTGTCAAGTGGATAAATAAAATCTTTAAAAAAAAAAAAAGGGTTGGACGCTTAACTGACTGAGACACCCAGGTACCCCGGGTTTTTTTTGGGGGGGGGGGCTTGTTTGTTTTTAAAGCTCTCCAGAGGGGCACCTGAGTGGCTCAGTTTGTTGGGCGACTGCCTTCAGCTCAGGTCACGACCTCGGAATCCCAGGATCGAGTCCCGCATCAGGCTCCCAGCTCCATGGGGAGTCCGCTTCTCCCTCTGACCTTCTCAGCTCTCATGCTCTCTCTCACTCTCAATAAATAAATAAAATCTTTAGAAAAGAAAAAAAGAAAAAGCTCTCCAGGTAATTCTACTATATATAGTTAAGTTAAATTAACGAAATCTTGATCTCAAACTAATTCAGCCCCTAAAATTCCAAGTTGACCAAATACATCCTCTCTACCTGGAAGGCAGACAGAGCCCTGCTCCAACAGCATGTTCAGGACCAGCATCCCCTCATGGCATAGCCCAGAAGTCCAGGTTCACTGCCATGTCCCCACAGAGCACTGAACAAATACTTCAAATACCTGATTCAGTAGTTTTCCTAGGGACCAGGAGCTAGACTGGTGGTTGCTTCAGACCTGAATAGTTGAGCTTAGGGAGGAATGTTGATAAATCCTGGACTGAGTGCCTCTTTCCATGACCGGGACCCAAAATCCACCGGCCCTTCCAGGCAAGACCAGGGTGGGTGGACACTCGCACAAGGAGGTGGTTGTGATCATCACAAGAACATAAAGTGCCTTTCACGCTGCGTTTTTTTCTATTTCTTGTGAATCCCTTCCTTACAAACTGCCTGTCTCGTTGTTTCCCTGAGGTTGGGCACAGAGCAGCTAAAAAACATCTTAAGTGAAAGTCCAGTCTAGCTGGTAAGTTCCATCCAGTATTACCAACAGCCATTAAGTTACCTTTCTGAGAGCTGAGGGAAAGAAAATACTTTGTGATGTGATTCAGGAATACATTTTTTTTTTAATAGATTAGGGGTGAGACCTAAGACTGCCTCCCTTCCCCATATCGGCTTTCCCCACTTCCTGTCAAAATGCCCCACAGAAAGGTTCCTCCAAGGAAGGAAGAAATCGATACCAGTGGCATAGCATTCACACATTTCCCAACATCCCAAAGCTACAAGAATACGGAAGTGCCCTGCTGAATTACTGGTTAAAATAGTATTGGGGCAGTATTGGGGAGTATTGGGGCGCCTGGGTGGCTCAGTGGGTTAAAGACCCTGCCTTCGGCTCAGGTCATGATCCCAGAGTCCTGGGATTGAGCCCCGCATCGGGCTCTCTGCTCGGCAGGGAGCCTGCTTCCGCCTCTCTGCCTACTTGTGATCTCTGTCAAATAAATAAATAAAATCTTAAAAAAAAAATAGGCAGAGTATGTAGACATCAGCCAGTTCCAGGATGATCTAGGATCCACCAGAACACTCGAACACAGGAGTCAGCAACCTTTGTTTGTAAATATCCAGAGAGTAAACATTTTAGGACTGTGGGCCATGTAGCCTCTGTCACAAAGACTCAGCCTTGCTGTGGTAGAGCAAAACCAACCACAGACAACATGTAAGCAAGGTTGTATGGAGAGGACAACAGTCCAGAACATTTTACTTGCAAAGGGAGGTAGGCTAGACTCAGTAGTTTGCTGACCCCTGTTCTACCAGACAGTAAGCTTCTGTATACGGATCTCAGTGCCATTTAATGGATGACAAAGAAGAAAGAATGACATGGAAAAAGACTGATATGGATTTAATGACAAATGTTCCATATGGGTTGCTGAACACCAGAACACTGTCCGAGGAACCATCATTAAATAAAACAACCTGAAAATAAGGCAATTCTCACATATACAAGCACACTCACACAAAACCTGTTACTTTTAGGATCATTATTCACTATTTTAACAAACAGCTGTAAAATAACATTATACTGAAGGGAAATGTGCACAAACTTCAGAAACACAGTCCAGATTGTCTATGAACACAGGTTCTTCATCTGTACTTTCTCACATATGTACAGCCTCTTGATCCTGAAGAAATCACATGGCTCAAGGGGTTAACTTCTCATCTTCTCTTTCCAACTCAGAGCTCAAGATCGAATCAAGCCATTTAACCTACCGAAACTGCTCCAGCTTTTGCTAAGCCAAGAGCAACCTGCACTTGACCAAACTCCCGGGGAAACAAATGATACACTTGCCTCCACCAGCATGAATGAGTTGATGGAAGGAGTCTTCAAATTAGCATTTTTAAGGGTGCCTCACAGTTAGTGGGGCTTGCTGAAGAAAAACTATTACTCTTGAACTAGATACAAGAACCAGCATCCTGACTGCATTTAAATTCACTTAATGCAGCTATGTTCCCTGAAGAAGTGTAGGAAAAATGGAATCACATTTTAAATGCACCACGAGAGTGGGGATTTTGGTGGTTGGGCTGTTTTCTTCTGCTTAAAAGGATACTGAAGTGGTAGCTGACTCTCTTACCCATGGTACTTGAAAGAAGAGAGGTCAATGAAACCCAAACATTTCCACTGCCACCAAATTATTTCATATGAGCTTCTATCTCCCTTCCCTCTTGAACCTTCTTGAAAGCTGCCCATATATAACATAGCTGATGCAGACAAGACCGTACAGAGTACAATGGCAGTCAAAGGCCAAATAACCCATAAAGTGGATAATCAGAAGTTGCATGAGATTTCATAGGCACAGACTTGAGAGAACATAAAATGGCTGGAAGAGGTAGATGTGCATAAAAAAAACACACAAAGGAATAAGGTTACCTACAAATTGACTATATTATTTTCAAAGGAGTCCTATACACTTAGTATTCAGGGTAAAGAGTCAATAAATAATGGACATTGATTTTGCTCAGATTACTCAACCAAAAGAAAATAAAGAATTAGTGTCTTGCAAAATTATCTATCTTTTGAAAATTGATTTGCATTTGTAAATAACAATAAACTGATTAAGAGGGCAAGATCAACAGGCATTGTACAAGCCCAGAAGTCTCAGCATTTTTTTTTTTTTGGAAGGTGTTTTTATAAGGACAAAAACATGCTTCCCTACAGTCCCCAAGGAGGTTCTTTGTTAAAATACAATTGATCAAGTATAAATTACCAGCATCCACAGAAAGTTTGCTAAAACCGTAAAAACAATCTTGCAGTTTTTCTTCTTTGCTTTCAAGTGTGTCCAACAGTTTGTGAAGATGCTTCCATGAAAAGTACAGAACAACTAACAATCACTAGTGAAGAAAACAAGACTGCTTTCCACAACTCTAATTTCTAAAGGCTAACCTGGGGGAGGAATTTTCAGTACAGGTAACCGAAATCTGTACAAGAGTCATCTAACTACAGCCCCCTACTAGAAATGGAACAATCCTAAGATACCCTAATTATGTGACAAAGACCAGCTTTGTCAATAAGGACATCTTTGGCCCTTCTAGACTAGCCTTAAGCTTTCCATGAAGCATTAAGAATTTTCAGTGTCTTCATTTTATTATATAAATCATGACAGGTTAAGTCTTTCTAGCAGCTGACAGGAGAACACAAAAGGTTTGACCGTACCTATCCCCACGGTCATCAGCCTGTCTTCCAAACAGCCTGCTGTACTCCTTCCTGTCCTCAGGTCTTCCCTATGACAGGGGTCATAATACTGATCTACCTCACAAAGGTGTGAGAAACAATTAACGATCGTTAAAAAGCATAAAGCACTTTAGAAATATAAAAGTGCTATTCTGGCATTTATATAACAACCAGAAAACATTCATTGCTTGTGCTATTTGGCAATTTTGCACTTAACACCTTTCCCTGCTTGGGCCTTCCTTGTGTAAACCCGTGAGCTTTCTACTGTGCCTCCTGTGTACATAAAAGATATCTCTATTCAGACCAAAAGCCTGTATCAATATGGATGGAGGTGGCTGTTCGATTATCTCCCCCATTACTACCAAGAGGGAGGGGGGCACTGGATACAGAGCAAAGGCAAATGAGACAAAGAAGCTTTGCACTCCAACATGTGAACATTTGCTCTCCTGGATTTCTCACATAAGGCCAGCAAAACTCTGAGCTAGATGACTTTTGTAGTAGGTCACTGGGGCAATGGTTGCTGATCTGAGATTCACTTCAAACAAGCAACATGCTGGCCTGGAAAAGGGAAAGCCAAACATAGCTGGGGCTGTTTCATTCCCCTGCACTTAGAAGATCACAAGTGAGATGTGAAATACCGGGCTTGGCACACACCTAACACCTCCCATCCACACAGACCACCCTGACCCAGCATGAAGCTAGACCACTTTAAAGGAAGTAGCAAAGAACCAGGGGAGCAGAACCAAGATTTCCCAGGTGATCTTAAAGCCAGTTATGAATGGATTTCCAAACTTCAGTTTTGCCCTTGGAATCAGAGTCCGTAAGCTTTCCTGCCCAGTTTCCCTTGGATGCCTCAAAATAGCAGCTAACTGTGGCTCAGAGAAATGAAGGGGAAAATATACTAAATATCTTCTCCAATAGCATCGACAACATTCCTCGACTTTTCATGAGACTACAGCTGATGTGGGGCGACAGGGCAAACAGTGTTAACATAACACCTGGTGAGACCGGGACAGAATGATTCATACCCGCCTTTTATTTTACCCCATAAGCCTCTCCTGACGCCCACAGGCCCCCCACAGCCCGACCTACTCTATTGCCTGCCATCCTGTTCACTCACCTAATCCCCTAACTCCCCTTCTTCAAGGTCCTCAAAGTGCCTGCTCTTCAATCCCTACTGCGTGTATCTGAAGATGTCATGGCTCAAGCACATCTCCCAAACACGTCCCGTTGGGGAGGCAGGCAAAATAGAACACCCCAAAAGAACCACACTTACTCGACCCTCCCCTTCAAGACCCCCTAACACCAAGACTCCCTGGTCACTCAGATTGTCCCTCCCGCCCCTTCCCCATTTCTCTCCACAAGCTCTATCCCCAGAACCGCTCCTCCCCACATGCTCCCCACCAGGGCAGCCTCCCCGCGGCCCGGCCCCTAGCACAGGTGCAGCTTCTGGTGCTGCGCCAGGTGTGTTTTGTAGCGGAAGCCCTTGCCACAGCCCGCACACTTGTGCGGCTTGTTGCCGGTGTGGATGCGGCGGTGGCGGATCAGGTGCGAGCTCTGGATGAAGCTCTTGCCGCACTCGATGCACGTGTAGGGCTTCTCGCCCGTGTGCGTGCGCTGGTGCTGCGTGAGCGTCGAGAAGTCGCTGAAGCGCTTCTCGCACTGGCCGCAGCAGAAGGGCTTCTCGCCCGTGTGCACGCGCAGGTGGTTCACCAGGTGCGAGTTGCGCCCGAAGCCCTTGCCGCACTCGCGACACACGTAGGGCCGCTCGCCCGAGTGCGTGCGCTTGTGCGTGAAGAGGTGCGAGCTGACGCTGAAGGTCTCGCCGCACTCGGAGCACATGTAGGGCTTCTCGCCCGTGTGCACGCGCTGGTGCTTCACTAGGTCCGAGCGCCAGCTGAAGCGCTTGCCACACTCGCCGCAGCCATGCGGCTTCTCGCCCGTGTGGATGCGCTGGTGGTTGGCCAGGTGCGAGCGGCGCACAAAACCCTTGCCGCACTCGCCGCAGGCGAAGGGCCGCAGGGCCGCCGCCCCCGCGCCGCTGGCTGCCGCGTGCGCCCGCCGGTGGCTCAGCAGGTGCGAGCTGAGGCTGAAGGCCTCGCCGCACTCGGGGCACGGGTAGGGCTTCTCGCCCGTGTGCAGGCGCCGGTGCTTAAGCAGGTCCGCGCGCCAGCTGAAGCTCTTGCCGCAGTCAGCGCACAGGTTGGGCCGCTCGCCCGTGTGCAAGCGCAAGTGGTTGGTCAGGTAGGTGTTGCGGCTGAAGCCCTTGCCGCACTCCCCGCAGCGGAAGGGCTTCTCGCGCGGGGGCCGGGCCAGCGCGGGCCCCGCCCCGAAGCCCCCCGCCACGCCCACCATGGCGCCGCACTCGCCAGAGAAGCCGAAGGGCTCCAGGCTGGCGGCGGCGGCGGCCTCCGCCAAGCGGTGGATGCGCTGGTGCTGCAGGAAGGCGGCGCCCGGGCTGAAGCTCTCCCCGCAGTCCGGGCAGATGGTGGGCGCGTCCATGATGCTGGCCATCAGGCTGTCGAGCTCCCCGAGGTCCATGGCCATGGGGTGATGGAGCCGACGGAAGCGGCGGTGGGCGGGCTTGTCGCCCCGGTGCCGACTCCCCAGGGAGAGATGCCGCCTCCAGGGGAGCATGGGAGGGGGCGGCTGCTCCTCTTCGTCCAGCCGGTTCTCCCCAGCGCTCTCCTCTTCCTCCTCCTCTTCTTCCCGGGGACTCTGGGAAATGCTGTCGGACTCCGACAGGCCCGGGAACATGGCCATCTCGGCTACGCCAGATTGGTAATCATCATCTTCGCGGAGAGCAGCCCCTTCTTCCTCACTCAGCAGTTCCTCTGCAACAGAAAAGGTGGCAGTGGTCGTGACTATACTTGGCGCTCAAGAGGCAGACCCGGAGGACACCAGTCTCAGTAAAAGTGCAGGCCACCCTCCCGGGAGTATTCTCAAACCCTCCCCCAAGACCCCCGCGATTCCAGCCTTCTTCCCACCTGGTACCTCCTGAGGAAGGCCTGCAGGAGTGTGCGCTCTGAAACACAGGCAAAGGTCACTCAACTGCTCCTTGGCTGGCCAGTTCTTACAGCAACTGTGTCTGGGGCCCAGACCCCACCCAGGGTACCCGAGGCTCCACTCAGCAGAGTCATCTGAAGGCTTGACAGTCTGCTTGAAATGGGCTGAGTGGGACTCTGTGGGATCTCAGGAGACATTAGCTTACTCTCACAGCTCCTAATGCCTTTCAGGGCCCTAGCCTCAAAAGATAAGGCCACTCCAGCCAACCACAAGAAAAGGTCACCCGTCCTAACGAGGTAATGGGCTGATTTTTAAAATAAAACTTGTTAGGGGTGGAACAACAAACCCAAACACACCCCAACTTAAGGGCTTTACTATGTAAGCCAGGCAGGAAGAATGAGCACAGGACCTAGGGCTGGGGATCCCAGCTTAGAGACTTCCAGAACACACACCTGTCTCTGGCTGCTTAACACGGAACAGAGGGCACTCCAGAAAGTTACTAAGATATTAAAGACTAGGTGTTGTGTACACTGCAGGGGAGAGCAGGAGGAAGTCTGGGATGTGTCACAGGGGAGGGAATGTAACCTCATTAGTCTTGACCGCAAGGTATTTCAGTTCATTTCTTGTTCTCAAGGCATGCACAGAGCAGTATAAAGCAACAAATGCCCAGAGATAGGACCAAGGATGTGGATGGAGGCGGAGGGCTAGTGCTTCCTCTTTCCAGGTCAGGAATACCAAGGAATTTGGCAGAGGCCTTGAGCACTTTGGGAGTTGGCCACATAAACCTGGGTAGGTCACTTACCACTGAGTTTACTTATCTGCGAACAAAGATGATGAGGACTATAGCTGCAAACACCTGGACACTTTATGAGCCCAATGCTGTGATAAGTCTTCAAATGCAGCAACTCATCTAAACTCCCCCAACAACCTGATGAGGTAGGTTCTGATATTAGCTGTGCTCCCTCTCATGTTATTGCAAGTGTTAATTTATAGCAGTGTTCTGTACACTGTAGTGCAACACCAGTGACTTACCCTCTTCATCCACGTTTACCAGAACAGCCCACCTCAGACTGGATTGAAGAAAGGGATGTTCCTCAGGCTTACGGTTCTGCGTAATGGTCTCTGCTAGAGGGCTCTCCCACAAAGAATGCTGCGCTGGGTTCTAACTCTAGAGGAGCTAGAAATAACTGTGAGTGGGGGCAACTTCCATGGAAATGCCACCTTTTCCTCACCTGGGCAGATGTCAGATACCAGTTCCCTCGCCTCTGGGTCCCCTCCCAGAGCTTCATCATGTGGGCTGGAGTCCAGCTCCTGCACTGGGGGGTCTTCTCTCTTGTCGGCATCCTGTGGGTGAGAGCCCATTCCTCTTTCTTCTGGGTCCCGTTCTCTGTCTTCAGAGTTCTCAAAATCAGAGCCCATCCCTTTGTCTGCTGAGTCCTGGGCTTCACACACACCCTGTTTATTTTCTTGTTCCATCCAGGAAGAACAGCACAAGGGAGGTGACCGGGGACCCCTGTTCCAGACAAAACACAGATATAGGTCAGGTCAGTCTGGCCTCACCCCCTCACCATATCTGGCTTTGATTTCCATGAAAATCAGTGGCTCAGTCCAAGAAAAGGTGTAAAGGTTCAAGACCCAGATGACAAATTTCTGTTCCACGTCACATTTTCAGATGCACAGAACCAAGCACAAAAGATGCTGGTCTGGGTGGCCATGGGAACAGTGGCACCTCCATCTGAGATCATGTGCCAGCTCCCACTGGACTGGACGCAGATTCATCTCCTCCCATCTCTGAAGTGGATTCTCCATTAACCTGGCTTTTTAGCCTTAACAGTGGTTGTTCCCATTTTTCGGCTGAGAAAACGTAAAGCTCAAAAAGAAGGACCCCGTCAGCCCTAGACTAACCTATAAGCAGTAAGGTAGGGACTAAACCAGCGAGGGCCTGCTGCTTTCCTACACCCAGTGAGTCAAGAGATTGAAGCTCTAGCAAGTCTGCTGGGGTGTGGAAGAGGAGGCAGCGGCCTTCTGTGTTAGAAGCCATCTCTACAGGGAGCCCCAAACAGGAACGTGACCCTCACATAACAGGTAACCCCACCTACAGCACAGGCCAACATGTGAATTGTAGGAAGAAAATGACATTAGATTCCAAAACCCTTTGTAGATGTCAGGTTTACATGTAAAGGCCCCTTGCCAAGATGGAGCAGCCGAGCCAAAAATAATCGACTTCTGCCATCCATCACTCTAAGGGCTTAGCTCAAGGCAGCAAAGCAGATTAATGGTCAAGGATCTTGAACTATGACTTTGAAGTGTCCAGCACTCTCTGGCTCAGCAGCCCCCAGACAGGACTTACATGAATACCGCTGAGCAAAATGCTCTCTCTTTGGCTGGGAGCTTTTCCTGCCTCTGCAAGCTCTTGCCAGCCTAATTTCAGGATCCAAGGCAAGGAAATTCACCTGTCCTTGTCTCCACCTTCTCTTCAGTAGTGCAAGGAGGACAATGCTACTTAACATTTCTCCCAGGGAGGATATCAGTAGGAAACATTAAAATGCGCTTTAGAAAACACTGTAGCGAGGAACTGATACTTAGAGCATTAAAAACATGGAATACAAAGGCCATTTCTCCGTCCAATATGGAATATGATTTATTTCTCTTTTTAAATCCTGATGCCATTCCAGCACACCTCAGACATACAATCACCACCATAATTTTCACAGACCCATTGCCCTAACTAGCATATTCTGAGATTCTACCCTCTCTCGGAGATGAGGATGTACTCCCTAGATTACAGTGAAAAGCCAAGCCTGGCCCTTAACCATCATCAGAAAATGGCCGTGTCGGGGTGCCTGGATGCCTCAGTGGGTTAAGTCTCTGCCTTCGGCTCAGGTCATGATCTCAGGGTCCTGAGATCGAGCCCCACATCAGGCTCCCTGCTTGGCGGGGAGCCTGCTCCCCTCTCCTCTTTCTGCCTGCCTCTCTGCCTACTTGTGATTTCTGTCAAATAAATAAATAAAATCTTTAAAAAAGAAAGAAAGAAAAGCAAAAAAAGAAAATGGCCATGTCTGAGGCTGTTTAGTCAACAGTGTCCTGGAATGTAGCTAAGTTTCTTTAGACTCAATACAGTTTAAAATGACAGGTTCCAAACACTCAGGATTAGGCTCCAGGAGAAAATCTCAGTAAAGCCATAAACTTTTTAAGAGGAATATTACATATACTACTGACCCCAAGTCACTTCCACCCATAACTCTCTTTGTCTTCTGGAGCTCAGACTCTACAGACAAACACATCCCTAGAGTCTGCATATATGACACACCCAGAAGGCTAGGGGTGGAGAGCACAGAGCAGGATTTTCAAAACATGTGACTTACTGGTTTGCTAGAGGCTAAAAGCAGAGAAGGGGTGGGGCCACTTCCAGGGAAACAATCTCAGACCAGCAAGTAGAATTCTACATCAATAAAATCATCAAATAAGCATGTCGCCAGAAATGCATAAAACTAAAATGGCAGGGACGCCTGAGTGGCTCAGTCAGTTAAGTGGCTACCTACGGCTCAGGTCACGATCCCAGGGTCCTGGGATTGAGGCCAACATCCGGCTCCTTGCTCAGCAGGGAGCCTGCTTCTTCCTCTACCTCCACCTGCCTCTCCCCTGCTTGTTCTTTCCATCTCTGACAAATAAAGTTTTAATAAAATAAAATAAAATAAAATAAAATAAACACTAAAATGGCAGGGCATGGTGCCTGGAATGGTACAGAAATGACTACAGCTCACCCAGAAGGGTGGGCATTGGGAGTCTACCCTGGAAAACAGAGATGCTTAGGGTTTCTCCTTTTTTCCTTTTAAAAAGGACACCACACCTTCTTTATACCTCAGGTACAGAGAAACAGAATGAGAGTACTTTCTGATTTGTGATTTCTCAGGAGCCAAGAGATACCAGATACCAGAAATATTAAACAAAGAAACATAGCTTTTATAGATTTAAGGGAGAGGAAGGAAAAGAGGCAGAGCCCGAGTTCCCCGGATGGGGCTGGAATATAGAAGTTCACAGGTGCCACACTCAGAAGCTTCTGAGCTCCCAAAGGGAAATGCTCAGATCCTCATTCATACTAGGAGAGGGAAGATTAGGTATGCTCTACAAAGAGTGGGGAGCTCCTGTCACCTAGAGGAACACCATTCATGGCGCAACATCTACTGAGATTTCTTTAAGAGTGTACTATGTTAGAGCAGACCTGGAAACCTTCAAGACCCACAATAATGGATTCAGTTCCATTCACGCCAACCCATCAGTAGGTTCCAGGCAGCTACCAAGTACTAGAGAAGACTATTTAGAAGTAAGGAAAGGCAGTCATGATATACCGTTAGATGAAAACTAGCTGGCTTAAAAAAAAAATCTCATTTATTAGTATATGCATACAATATAATATACATACACACACACATATATATTTACACATGTATATACATATTCAGAGAGGAAAATTAGAACATTACTGATGTATTAATCAAACATCTCTTGGTCACATCTAAGGGTTTTGTACCACTTAATCTAAACAACTCAATGATGCAGGGTCTAATTTTCAACTTCAGAGACACATGAAGGAATAGGCAAAGAAGCTGTGACTAGCTCAAGGTCACACATATTGCTGGTGGCACAGCAGGGATTCAAACCCCTACAGGATAGTTCCAGGGCTCACAGTCTTAGCCAAAAGCTGGTGTATTGCTTGGGATCACTTTTCCTTTTTGTGAACATCTCTATTTTCTACAATAAAGATATATATTTTTTTATCAGCAGAAAAGCCAACTTTGTTTTTAATGCGATAAAGTACACTGAAGGAATAGCTACATTATTTTAGAAACAACAAGAAGACAAGGGCAGATGTGCTTATCTTAATCTATGGAAGACAATTTTCAGAAACGTTATCTAAACACTGTGGTATAACTGACGTGTCAGTCAGTAGATCTGTAAGCACATTTTGTTCCAACTCCTCTCCTATTCATTCTCAAAACAAAAACTAGCAACATGCCTTCTTGGGCAAGGCCAGGGGTGGATAATGAATGGGTGGCCAGGCACTGTGGTAGATGTGTGGCTACACTGACCTAGGTTCAAATCCTGTCAGCTACGTGACCTTGTGCAAGTTACTTAACCTTGCTCATCTTCAGAGCTTGCATGGAAAAAAACAACTATACTGCCACCTATGAGATTTGTTGCTTATATCCTATAAGATTAGGAAAAGCAGTAGGCATAGTGACATGGTAAACAGTAGTTATAATGTTAGGAAACTTACACGAACTTCTTGATTTAAAAAATTATATACACACACATATCCCTCCTAAACTGAAGGTCATGGCTATTCACCAAGAATGGCCTTTGGCAAGTACATCGCAGTTTCCTGTGGCCTCACTACTAAAGACTTTATAATGAACAGCCCACCCTGCGGACACAAGAGCCAGCAAAGGGTGAGGGAAGAAGGGCAGTTCCATAGTGGTTTGGAGATGTGGATAATACAGCCTGCATTCAGAAAGTACAAGCAAGCTGAATGAGGTGTTCAATAAACCCGGACTCCACTGTAGGGGATATCCCCCTGCAGAAGAGACAGAAATTTAAGGGGGTGGGGGCAGAAAACCAAACAGGTAATGGTGGAGGCAGTAAGGCAGACCCGATGAATCCCGCATCTAACTCTAATCATTGAACTAGCAGCAATGGGGAGGAAGGAGCCCGTTTCTGACTAGCGCAGCCCTTGGGCTGACTTTGAGTATTTGCCCCCTCTGGGCTTCTGTTCTATGAGGAGGTTCAGTCTGAATGGACTCGAGGCCTCTTCTGGCTTGTCACATGACATGCAGGAGAGAGGTAATCCAAGGGGGACATCACTGTCAGTGTCATTAGACATCTTCATGTTTACTCAACTAGCACAGCAAAGCTATTAACGCCCCAAGTGTCCACCCCCATTTCCCTGCCCCCCCACCACCACCACACCTTTCTCCTTGGGTGCAGATCACTCCAGGGTGGGATCAGTTATCTCTGCGAAGACTGCTTAAATCCTAGTTTCTAGAATTTGCAATATTTTCATGTCCCCTCTTTCTACCCCATGCCCCCCAGCTCAAAGAAGAGTCATGTTCATTACCCTAGAAAGTCACTAGGAAAATGCTCAAGTGCCTTCTAGACAAATTCAACCCCACTGGAACAATGCCATAGAAGGAAATGGGATAAAGTATGCTGGAAGGAGGTACTGAGGCAATGAGGTGGGGGAAAAGGAAGTGAAGCCAGGAGCAGGGCCAGAATTAGCATTTAACCACAGTGTACCAGTACATTTTCACAGTGGACCCCTTTGCAGCTATGTGCAAAACCTAGCTCTTTTCCAAACGCGAGAGCCCCACCAATTTATGGAGTCAACCGCATTTCTGGGAGCAGGCTGGGGCAGACAAACCCAGGTCACTCTCCCACCTTCTTCAAAGAGAAAGCACTGGCCATGGTTCTCCAGGGCATCTGGCACAGGACCCCACATGGTCATTCCACCTCTGG